CCTTTTGAAGTGCCAATGATTTGGAGAGAGCCAACAGATCATACCAGCAATTGTTACTTCTGCATGGTGCCTCCAGTTGGGAAAGGTGTGTCAAAGAAGAAAAAGTGGACTCTGCATTATCCAAACATTCCATCAGCTATACGCCCAGTACCCCGAGAGAAGGACTGCCGGTTCCTGATGCACCAGAATCATTCTCACTTGTGTCAGACGAGGAAGAGGAAGAGGATGAAACTTCTGGTCCTGAACCATCAATGTCACATTTTCTCCCATCCTCCTCCTCTGAACCACACCTCATAACACAAGGTGAACTGAATGACCTTGTCAGGGATTTGGAACTACCCAAGACTAAGGCAGAGCTGTTGGGTATCAGACTACAGCAGTGGAATCTCCTGGCAGGTGATGTTAGGGTTTCCATGTTCCGTGACCGTCAAAAGGATCTTGTCCCATTCTTCTTCATGGAAGGTGATCTTGTAGCCTGCAACAACATCGATGGTGTGATGGCAGCCCTCAACATCGTTCACGATCCTGATGAGTGGAGACTGTTCGTTGATTGAGTTTGGTGATTTCAAAGGGAAGGTCTTCAACAGTCAATTGCACCTCTTTAGGGAAACCGAAAAGGTGTAACCACGATCCAAGTCGCATAAGCACTGCCAGGGAGATGTTCCAGGCCACAGTGTCAGCTGCCTCAAGGGAAGACTGTAGCACTGTTTTGGCTACCCATTGTCCTTCCTGTATGATAACTTTGAACTGGCCACGCTGTGACTCTGGAAGCTGATCAATAAAGTTGTCAAGTTGCCAATAGTTAACATAGTTGTACTTTGCCGTTAAGGCTTTATAATTGGTATTTCGAAACTGAAGCATGGCTGAGGAATAGGCTTTCCTTCCAAAGAAGTTTAAGCGCTTGCAATCCCTATCATAGGGGGTGGATTTCATTTGGTGCTGACGGCCCCAGGAGTTTACCATGTCCACGACTATGGATTTGGAGGCAGGGTGGGAAAAAAGAAATTCCGTCTCCCTAGCCAGAACATAATATTTTATGTAGGCATAAAATATGCTGGGCTCTGCCATATGGTTTTTGCAGGAGAACCTCGTTGATGGGGAAGGCTATTTTAGAGGTCGAGGAAGAGTGTAATATGACAAGGAGTTTGGGATGGGTGTCCTTGACTTCCTCCA